TAAGCGATGTTATCTCGCGTAATAAACCGGCGCTCGCGCACACGCCATCGTTGAGGATCCTATTATCGTGCGCGATTTCGATCTCTCTGTCTCTCTCTCTTTCTCTCTCTCTCTCTCTCTCTTTTTCTCTCTCTCTTTCACCCACGACATTGGACGCGCTCTCATCGCCCGCGCTTCCCGATTGGATCTGATGGGTTTATTGATATTTTTATTGGTAGTTTGGTGCACGGAACTGACAAGCCACGTCATTACACAGTGATATTGATCGCGATACAGCGCGCTCGGGAGAAGCGACTAATTGTTTTGTCTTATCGTTGGGAATCTGCGTGGTTTCTCTTCGCGCGAGCGCGGCGTTTTGCACTCCCGCTTGTTTACACGCAAACTGCTCCCTTTCTCCTCAGGGTATGTTTTACCATTCGGTTGCGTTGCGTTTCCGTACGGAAAAGGCGCGTCCCGAGTCCCATAAGTTGCACGGCGAGTACTTTATAACGGCGGGGCTTAACGCGGTTATGACTTCGCTTACGTCTAGGAAGCGATTCACGCGGACCCGGCTGTGGTGCACGCGAACTTATTAGCCGACGTGAAATACAGTCGTTACCGAAATTCACCACGACAAGCCCGTAAAATGTGACACTGACGCGATTTACGAGAGCAGCGGATTTTTCGCTGCAGTGGGAAGGTACGGTACTGCGAATTTTTTCCCTCTCAAGCACACGGGAAAAAAATTCCAGTCTGTGCTACTGAATGGAGACCAGATGAAAATTCAGCGACGTGAAATGATATCTCTGTTAGCGCAACCGAAAATGTGTGTTTGAACATTCAGCCGTGTTAAAATTTGGTTGTACTAACTGAGGACAATTGTCTAAATCCTAGGAATTTTACAACCTCTACTACCAAGTTTTTCTGGTTTTCTGGCCCTTATTCTCATCAGACAATGGAAAATTCAGTTACACCAACGGAATTTTTTTCTGCGCGGAAAAAGAAATTTTTGTTCGAATAACTGAATGGAAACCAGATGAAAAATTTGTTGACGAGAAATAATATCTCTGTTAAGCCTGATCTACAATATGCTCTTTGCGTTCTGTTTCTTATCTTCTGTCTTTTTCTGCCTTAAAGCTTAAGGTTTGAGTCAGAAAGAGATAAAGAGAAAAAAGCAGGAAGTAAAGAGTATATTGTAGATCAGGCTTTACCATGACTAAACATTCGTTTGAACATTTAACTGCATTAAAAGTTTTCGGTTGAGATAACTGAGAGCAACTGGCTGAGCCTCCCACAGAAATCTTTCTATAACCGAGTTTTCTGATTCCCATCTGATCTAATAACAGAAAATTCAACTGCACTTATAAAGTTGTTTTTTCTACGCATGTAAATGTGCAAATTCTCGATATGCGTACCACGACACTGGCTTGATTTTATGAATTTTCATCAACACCGCGAAACGCGCGTCATATTTGTCACATTGTTGAGATAAACAAGGAAAAGCTCCCGTGATCGTGCCGGAAAATTCTTATCACTGCGTGAGACAGGCCGAAAGTTCTAGATCCGTAGATGGTGGGAAGCCTCCTTCCGCGTTTCCATGGAAACCGTCTTTCTATCTCCCCTTAGCTCCCCTCTCTTTATCTCTCTAGCTCTTTCTCTCTCTATCTATCTATCTATCTATCTCTCTTTCCTTTCCCTTTTATTTCTCCCTTCCTCCCATTCTCTTCTCACCCCTATCAGGGGCGGATAAAGTCGCTGTCTGCCACTGTTCCAGTAACGGATTTTCCAATAACCATGCCAAACAGTCGTTTCGTCGAGAATTCCCCGAATTCCACAAATTTCTAATTATCACGAATAATTGGATGAGCAAATGGCTCACTTCCCCGGTCATCCATTTTACGCGACAAAAATTCACAGCTGCAAGACTCACCCCTCGACTGTAATCGAGGTTGCAAATATCTTCTCTCGTTTAGGGTCCTGCGAGCTCTAAATCCGCCACTGTTCCGCTCTCTTCTCTTCTCGCGCTTTCTCCCGTAGTAGCTCGTCGTGGCGTAATATGCCTTTCACAGTTAGTGCCACGACGCCGGTATCGACCGACGTGTTATACCCCTCTGACCGTACTCCACTCCCTTCTCTTCGGTTCCAGTAGAGGCCTCTCGAGCGCGCTCCAACCTTCCTCCTCCACTCCTCCCTCCTACACCACCCTCCTTCCTTCTAGCGCTCTCTCGCACCCTCGCACTCCACTACTACGCTCCACTACGATAGTACTATTCGATTCATAATAACAAAGGACACTCGCGTGCAGCTTTAATTCACGTGGTGGAGCGCGTTCGGCGCCGCGCTTCTTCGACGACGACGCTTCTGTTGTTTGATTCTATGCTCACGTGGCGGCGTTTGATCGATCAATGACATCCGATTGATTCATCGCTGATCGCATATTCGTATTTGACGACACGCACGTTTGACCTTCCCTCCATGCTGATTCAAATGTTCTATCGACTCAGATCGCCGCAAGTTTCTCACAAACGCACTCGGCCAAGCACTCAAACGGGGTCGAAATGATTTGTCGGGGGTGGTTTCGAAGACGTAGGATGGGTGGGTCCTGTTCGCTTGCCAACTACAACTGACCCAGATTCCATCGAATCCTCGGCGATCCTGGACAGGGCAGCGTTAAGGCATGCGACTCTTCTTCTTCCCCGTTGCCCCTCGGAATACGCGATAAGTCTAGTTGGTCGAAAACTCTTAGCCGTGAGTAAAAGCCTTAGTTGTTCCACTTCGGCAACGAAACCGGCCATCGACGGGAAATTGCAGATTGCCGGGGGCCGGCGAGCGAGCTTTTACCACGATATCGTGGTCGAGACTGCTCCGTTTTATGCACTGGGCGTGTCCGGCGTTTCCTCTAACGTCGCGATGCAGTTCTAGTTTCTCTGCATTTTTACCGCTATGTGCGCATCGTAAATTTGATTTTGCAGATATGGCTTATTTTGCAAAATGTGTATCGTCGAGGAAAGGACAGATATTTCTTCAGGGAAAATCTAGAATGTGCGATAATAATTTTCATGATTTCCCCTCTCTGTATTTTTATAAATATAATAATATACTCAGGAAATATTATATATTCATTACATACATTACACTGTGAAAAATAAAAAAATAAAAAAATATTTGTGTGGTGGGTACTAATAATACTTAAATGTAAATTTTTTCGTTCAAACAGAATATACAATTGTTTTCGTGAAAAAGTACAGAACTACTTAAGAAAAGAAAACATAAGGTAACAATATCTATCTGTAAATACATACCTAATGTTGGACATTCTTATTATTTTGATCTTTAAATACGAATATTTAAACTTTTAGTATAAAAATATATATTGAATATATTATGATCTCTCTATATTTTGAAAACTTAAATATTCATATTTAAAAACCAAAACAATAAAAATAAAAATAAAAATGTCTAAAAAATGGATACTTTTTTTATATTTTATTATTCGAAAAAAAATTTGTTTTCAATGCAAAGATACACATAAATATGTTATATGTGCCCGCTGAATAAATACTATACTTTTTATTTTTTAGATATTTCTTCTCTCAATGTATACATAATTATATACATAATATAATAATACACAGAAAGAAAGATATTAATTAAATTTCTGTGTGTGGTAAATTATAAACGAACCAGAAATTCTGTTTGAAGTTACCGTTTGAAGTTATTTCCAGAATATTTTTTAAGTTAACAAGACTTCTGTTAATTTAAACAAAATTTTGGTAACGTCACCATTTTGGTAACCAGAATTTTCTTGTTCATAATTTACAACCAAATGGTTTTCTTTGTGTATTCATAAAAATTTCTATTCATAGCGCAAGGAGACGCGTTTACTGGTGTTTATTCACCTACAAAGGAGAAACCTTGCCACCGGTATTACAAATTTTCATTACGAGAGAGAAAGTCCGCAACTCTTATTTATCGTTTGTGCACGAGAAGCTCGCGAAAAGTGAAAAATGAAAAAAAAATAGAGAGAGCCGGAGAAAAGTGCGGTGCACTTGAGCGTAATTCAAAGATTGGAGGGGAGAGCTTCTATTATTGCAAATCAACGGCCGATGAGCTCCCGAGATTACGTTCTCTTGGGGGAATATTCCCCCTTTCCTCCCCATATTTACCCGCTCAGCGACGCTTCATATCGGCGTCTCCTCCCGGCGTTTTATCAGCAAAATTACATTTTCCCGGACGGTTCAACGGCCGAAATGTGCAAGCTCGCAGGGCTCGGTGGCTGTGGTGGCTATTAAATCCAGCCGGTGATTACACGTCTAATTTTACGATACGGCAGCGTTGAAGTATACGTAAGCAGTTACGTCCTGTGTGGTGTCTCTCGCGGAATACATTAGGTTTCTCACCTTGTGTTCTCACCTAAGAGACACGGCGCGCTGACGATTTCGCCGATAGATAAATGGCAAAAGAAAAAACCGAAATTGCCTTTTTGCCGTGAGTTCTCTGTCTCTCTCTCTCTCTCTCTCTCTCTCTGCCCTCCCTCCTCCTCTTTCTTTCTGGTTTCGCAGAAAACTCAATTAGCGATCTCGCAGAATTAATCCCCGACTGCGGTAACCACGCTCGGACGAGGTCCTCAAGAGATTACTTGGCGCACGGCGGGAAGAGTAACGGCTGATTGGCGTTCGCATAGATAACTTCGTTACCGAGTTCCAGCGCGGCTTACGTGGATTTGGCCGCGTCTATGGGATTGCACGTACTCGACGCGCAGCATTTTCCCGCGTCGATCAGCGCGCGTGTCTTTGAAAAAAAAACACAATCCTCCACGGGGTTAACTCACTCGGTTACGCGCGGAGGTGATCCGCTCGTCGTTAGCGATTTACAACCTGCGCGCTCGCAGATCGAACTGGCTGACACAACAGCTGCGAGCGGTCGCAGCTGGTAATGGTGAAACGTAACCGACAGTATGGGCTACGGGGATGATTAGTCGGGGAATATAATTAATCGCTCGTCCACTCGATATGATGCAGGTTGTCACACCGCAGAAGTGCGGAGATGTCTACCTCTACGACCTGCCAGCGAGCCGGGGCAGTCCTGCGCCACCATCCCGACACGATTCAGTCCTCATCTCGAACAATGAGCACTCGCACAATACGGGTACGTATTATTCGCGAGCTACAGTCTGCCTGTGCCGGAATGGTTCGTCGCGATAAAGCGACCGTCTGCGAAAGTTTATTCATTAATTGAGATATCGATTAACACTTCGCGTCTCTCTCTTTCTTCTCTTTTCTGTTTTTCTCCCTTTCAACGTGAGAACAAGCGCCGAGAGTTGGTTCTCGCTAATAAACAGAGAGATTTTTGCCGATTTAAATCACAGAGATGAAAATTCAATTCCCGGAATTAATTCGTTCGATACGGTCGGAGTGCTCTCGGAACTCCCGTGTTAGATTCGTTTAGTCTCGTTGTTATCTTGATCCATCCGCACAGGACGGTACATTGGCAACACGCGGACGACTTCTTCCGCGAATGACAACGCGAACGGGGGTGGTGACTCGAACGAATGCTACGATGTGCCACCACGCGCGATTCCCGTGATCCCGTCGCCAGCCAGCAGCCCAAGCCCGGCCCCGTCGTGCTACGACATCCCACGGCCGCCGACCTCCTGCACGCCTAATTCCAATTGCTCCACCGGCTCCGGCATTACGCCTCTGGATTGCTACGACGTGCCGCGACCTTTGCAACCCCTCACACCCAGCAGCTCGGCCTCCAGCCTCACCAACGACGGATCCCTCAGCGGCTCGAACAGGTATCGTCTTTGCATTTCCGCGATGCGTCGCATTATTCAAACGGATTCCACGTGTGTTGCATAACGACGCTCTCTCTTTCTCTCCTTCGCTCTCTCTCTCTCTCTCTCTTCCTCTGTTGGCTCTAATGGATTGTCTACGATCCATCTTGGATCGCTGAGTATTCGAGAACCTCTAACTTTAAACGTTTCAGAGTCTGGCCAAATAAATCACGAACTGAACAAAGTTTTAAGAATCTTGTAAAGTGTGTGATTTAAAACAAAGTAGGGCAAAGTAGAGCGTGGGAGTTTGAAGTTTTTCCAGTCTCTAGTAGCTGAAGATCGTAACTCGTGTACTTTTTTAATCCTTTGCGTTCCAAGGTTGTCAAAAACCGGCATAATATAAGAGATTTCTAAATTAGTTTTGAGACCAGCGGCAGTAATTTAGATTCAGAATTACAACCAGAGTGACACCACTGCATCGTTTTTCCAGTTTCAATGGGAAATTTTGGATGCCACTCTTCTAGAATGCAAAGGGTTAAAAATTGTATGCATACACATTGCCGCTTAATAATGAATTTAAAAATACCATCGGTCTAAATTTGTCACCGCTTCGTCGCATGTATAACGTTCTCTATATTTCAGATCAAGTTTGGCCGCTCCTGATTACGATGTACCCCGACCACGTCTTCCAGCTTCCTCATTACCGTCCCGGCATAACACTCCCATACCGAAGACCCCGACACCACCGCCGCCCACGCAACAAATCTATGACGTGCCAGTGAGTAAGGAGCTCCCGCTAGAACTGGACTCTGCCCTGGAAGGCTTACAGAGGTTGCAGAGCGAGGCGTCCGCCGCGATAGCGAGGCTACTGGGCTTCGTGAGCCCCGGCTGGAGAACGCCGCAGCGACTAGACGCCACACTTATGGACCTCAGGCTGGCTGCTCTTAGACTGAGAACGTCTCTGCATGATCTCGCCGAATTCGCAGAAGGTGATTCACCTTTCGCACATTATTTTCACTTACTTGGTTTCTTCAGAAAAATTGATGACATCCTACGGCACTTCCCATAATAACAAAATAACGATTCCGTAGTTGTAACAAATATTTTCGCCAAGGTTTTTATTTTCATTATTTTAAGTTCAACAATTATCTATACATATATCTGAAATTATCTAATTTCATATATTTAATTCGAAAATTTATATACGTTCCTCGTCGAAATTTCCTTGTAATCTTATGAAATTGTTGTTATGAAATATTTCGAAAGTTGAATATGATATATAGGTACGCTGGGTAACGCGGGGAAAGCTCCTGATAAGGGTCTGGCGACGAAATTACGGCCGTTGGTGAAGGCGCTTCGTGATTCCGACAAGCTCGTGCAGGAAGCTGCCACCGAATTGGACACGATAGAATGGGACGCGAGTAAGCTATGTCGTGGCGGTGGCGATACACCGACACCTACTAATGGACCCCCGGCCTCGTTATTACCACCTGCACAGCCGGATCCCCTCGATCAGCTGATCGCGTGCGCTCGAGCACTCACGGAAGACGTTCGTCAGGTTGCCAGTTTCATTCAAGTGAGTATCTTTCACAGCACCGTAATGTATACTCGTTTTTAACGATTTCTAATCTCGAATCGTCGCTGGTAATTATTTCCTCGAATCGTTTCAATTAAAAAAAAATGAGGAAAATTAATTGATATAAATAATCAGCGGCATGACTTTCTATCGCTTTCTCTCTAAATATGTGTGTATGCACAGGGAAATTCCACGTTGCTCTTCAAACGAGCGTCCATCATCTCCACGGGCAGTAGCAACAACAGCGGCGCCGGCGAGGATTACGATTACGTAAATCTAGATTCACGAGAGGTCGTGGCGAAGCAGCGAGAAGAATTGAGGGCTTCGTTGCCGCAGGAGCTGCGCAACAATTACGATTTGCTGGTGTCCGAGGCGGACAATGCGGCGATTCAGATGGCACCCACGACACCTACGCCCATGGACCCCAACGACAAGCAGCTATTAGCCTTCTATGCTGCTCAGGTGATCACGCACGGCGCGCACCTGACTCACGCAATCGACGCCTTGCTGCAAACGGTCGAGCACAATCAACCACCCAAGGCGAGTGTGCTGGAAACCCACCAGTGGCATCAGCGCCAAGACGCACGGGTATCGTGAGAAAATGTCACAATTTTAGAATATAACGTGGATTATCTTACAGGTTTTTCTTGCACACGGAAAATTCGTGGTGCTGAGCGCCCATCGGCTCGTGCATATTGGCGACACGGTGCACCGGAATGTGACGCGTAATGACGTGCGGACGCGCGTGCTGCAATGCGCGAACGCCCTGAACGAGGCGCTAGCGCAAACCGTGTCGAAGACGAAACAGGCCGCTCAATTCTTCCCGAGCGTCAGCGCGGTCCAGGATATGGTCGACAGCGTGGTCGACGTGTCCCACTTGGCCAAGGATCTTAAGGTCGCTATGATACACGCCGCTCAGCAGCCCTGAAGAGAAACTCCGGCGATTATTGTCACGACGACGATGACGACGAATACGATTAGGCCGCGAAACCACAAGTTCCTCGAATTCAAATTCGATCCTCACGATCGAAAGCTTTTTTCTTATTAATCTTGAACCGCGGAGACTGAGGAAGATCGAGACGCGACGCGTTCTTTAGGCTTCAACGCGCGATCAGGTTTTAACACTGAGCGAGACGCAGCTAATTGTCGAAGACGATGCTCGAGCAATCGTGCGCGCGCGTGTCCGTGAAGTCTCATCATCTCGATCTCCATCGAGACTTTAAGCGAGCGCTAAGCATTTCCCGACATGTTCGTGAGGTCACGAACAGTCATTGTATTACGTAAAGGTGAATCAAGTGTCTCAGGAAATTTTTGCGAATTAACATTTGAAGTGTCGTCTTGCGAGATTACGAGACACGTGGCAGCTCCTGTTATTATTTCGAGATTCAGCCCATGTATGTGGACAAAGATACAATAGTAATGAAAGCGCCTGACGCCTTTCTCTCTTTTTCAGAAAGGCAAGTAAGCATTAGTGCAAAGTAGTAGTTTCGTTTGGAATCTCGGTGATAGTATTTTCAATTCCAAACGGTGAGATAATCAAACACAATCCGCGCGCACTTCATCCATACAGGAAAAACAAACGCGCTTTTCTACTCGCACACACGCCGGTATGTGTGTGTGTGGTGTGCATGCGCGCGTATGCGTATCGTGCAGCTATTAACTTTTCGCATTTATCGTTATAAAGAGATTCCGTGGCCTAGGAACCTGCTACTGCCAAAGCTCCGGTAAATAGATAAGGAAACGAAGAAAACCCACAAACTTAAAAAGACGAGTTCTTTGTAATTACGTACTCGTAAAAATATAAGCATTGTAATCTTTCGTAGAGAACACATAGCCGTGTATCGTTCACTAAGATAAAAAAGGACGTGGAGGACGCGACGAAATGAGTGACGAGTAATTAAGTGATAGCTTCCCGGCACGTGTGCGCGTGTGAAGAAACAACACTCGTCGAAACGGCTCCTGTGAACTTTGCGACTGGACCGAGTATACATCGTATACGTATACACTTACTTTCAGCACGGTTTGGGCACTCTCAATGCAGTTTGGAGCGCAGCCGATGGCTCCAGTGAGAATACTTCTTGGAATTGATGAAAAACAAGTTGGACTCTCATTGGACTCTCTTCATGCGTTCCTAGCTACATCGAGAAGAAAAGTGTTCCAACCGTATCGAAATCAAGTCGCGCATTTCTCGCGAAGCCAATTTCGGATACGTTATACACCAACGAAGCGTGTGTACGCGGATCAAAGGTGTGTTAGTAGTTTTATAAATGTACGTACACAGTAGAGCATACACACGCGTGACAACTGGACAAGACCTGTATTTGTGTCTTCTTTTTAGAGCCATTTTCGCCAGTGACAGTTGACCTTAATCTCACCTTTAACTTCTTGTATAAAGAAGAACAACCGCCGGTTACTTTTTTACACTCAAGGCCAGTGCGACGAAAATCGATATTAAACATTATTCGATTCGTAGAACAACCGTACTCTATCATGGAGTTTAAGCGTATGTCGAAATAAGAGAAAAATTCTCTCTTTATACACCAAAAAAAGATCCGAGCGCAGTCCAAGGTTTCGCTGCTGATACAAGTTTTAGGACATCACGGGATATAAAAAATCCGCAGAGAGGGAATAAGAGAAAGATAGAGATGGATTACTAATTGTTACGCACGGTTTTTTTGGAGGACGATTTTAAACGAATTTTATACGAAGCTTTTTTACCGCCGGGTTACGACTTTTTCGGGCGCCCAGGCCTTTTTATGGCTCTTCCATAACAGCGAATTGATAACACGAGCGCACAATTGTGAACCGCGATCGGCGACGGATAAGATTTATAACTTGTTGTCGCGAGATTTATTTCGACAATTGCTCGCAGGTCTTCCTCGAACGACAAGGTCACCGTTCACGTGTAAGAGACATTCAAAATTTTATTGAAAAATACTTCGTAGATGTTGTTATGTTATTCAGATAAATTGAATTTTTTATAAGAATTCTATGAAGAAAAAAGATTGGTTGAATTATTAACTGAATTAATTAAATAATTATTAGATTATTAATTATAGATCGAATTTGATTCACATAAGGACTAAAAATCTTGTTCCCTCCAACCAGAACGCATTTGATCACGTTATTAATTCAACCAAACTTTTGTCCGCGTGTAATTTTTTAATCATTGAAATTATCTTATTTTGCATATTGATACTTAGTTGATATCTGTGCAAAGATAAACATTAGATATTACCTTCGCGTTACGATTCTGAAAGAGCGTAGCTTAATCATTTTCGAGTGCTCAACGAGTGCTCAACGAGTGCCTGTCGGGACAGGAACACTATCCGACCGCTTATTCGCGGCACACTCGTTCCAACGGCCATTCTCCATACGTGCGAAAGTGTACTTAAAAATAAACTCGCCAGGTACAGAAGCTCGACTCGCGCGAAATTGCGCGAACGCGAGCGGCGTTTACCACATGTCGTTGTCAGCCGTTTCGAGACACAACCGGCCGTTTCGTTGCAGCTTCACGAACGATCGCAAGGATACTCGTCAAGATTTCTGTGAAATGCGATCTTTCGACGTTCTTTTCCTTACTTAAAGAGCTCGCATTGCTGTTGCAACCGAGAGAGGACGGTGTCCCCGCGAGTCTCGCGACACGGCAATCGTGTTTGACTTGCGATATTTGTCTCGCGGATAGTTTACAATTATTTTTTAGAGATTATACACCCGAGCATATCTCTCCCGTATAGAGAAACATTTATACACGAACCTCGTTTACGAGACTTGTATTATAATTTATTGGCGACGCGTTTTTGTAATATATAACACGTATGGCAAGGCAGTTACTACGTAGAGTTACTGTATATTTAGGAGAGGAAGAACAAAAGTTTATACATAGTCGGACCGATAGGTGCTTATCATTCGCGTTGAACCCACGTACTCAGATATGTATCGTGTGTCGTAGGCGTTCAAGTGGAATAGTTTCTTCGCATTTTGTAACGCAGGCTGTTAGGTGTTTGACTGACATGATCGCGTGAGAAAGAAGCAAACACCAATTCGTCGTTGTTCTGATTTCTCTTTCGTGTACATGATGATACCCATAAGAATCCTTTCGCGTAATTGTACATCGCTTTATGAAGTCTTCGGCGTGAGAGAATCCGCGTAGAATCGGCCCGAGACTTCATAAGAGCGCCAATCAATCATATTCTCGCCCCTCGTAACGTACGTACGTAACGATATTTCGTATTATTATTATAATTGTACAACTTACGAATTGCATATACTATATGTCGAGAGTAGTTATTCTAAAAAAAGCTATACGAGAAAATTAGTGGAAGGACTCTCGATGTAACACACGCGTGATATCCTTAGAAGGAACTTTACCACACATCGAATCGTTTTCTTATGACGCTTAAAATCATATTTTCGGCATATCGTGGCGCGAAAGCGCTCTCTTCGTTTTGTCACTAGAAAAATCCTGCCGATTGTACCGAACAATAACGCGCTGTTTCGCTAGATCGAGATACGCTACAAGCTGAATTGATTGTGTTACCTTTTAAGAACACCTTATTTGTACATAGATATATTTATACATATATTATATATATATATATATATATATATACATAATAATTATTCATATTACAAAACCAGAATATGTACACATGAGCGTATTGATATATCCGACGATGCAATAGTCGAGTATAAACTTATTTGAATATCGTGCAATGTCAAAAATAATTTCTAAGCCGAAATATACCCGAAGGTATAAAAGAATGCAAAGAAAATATCTAGGCGAGACTAATATTCATAGACTCTCAGTCTTTAAATGTAAGTAAAGAAGTTGTGTATAAATCAAACTCTCATTTTCAGTGCTCTACGAAACATTAATTTCTTCTCTTCTACCATACTTCGAGAAAAATAGAGACTCCCGACAAGATTTCGCAGGATTAATTTTGCACATTGACACGTTAATCTGTACATTTATAGATTTCGATCTTTTCAATAAAGATTCGTGGAAGAGAGAATCGAGACGAGAGAAGGAGAAAGATGACGATGACAACTTTTCCAGAAACCTTTATTTCTCATATTAAAATCTGCAAGCTTGAATCATCACGGTAGTATCAGGATGAGAAACTTGGGCGGTAACTCATATACAAATATAAATCAAACTCTAACTTCATCGTTCATTGATCCTAACAACAAGTGGTCTTCACGCATATACAAGATTTTTACATGTGCTAGGTAGAATTTTGATCAGAAGAAATTTCTCCTCTCGAAAGATGTATTCAGCTCCAACTTCCTAACTCGGTGATACTTTCTTGAAGAAAACCTCAGGTTCCTGCATGAAAGCACACAACAGAGGTATACATACTGGACTTGATTCGCACCAACACAGCAGCAGGCGGCGAATGAACTAAGAATGATCGCCACAACATCTGCCGAGGTGCGTGTGAACGTTGCCCTCCTTGTGCGCTCGGTCCCGAAGGGCCTTCTCGTGATGGAAGCTGGTGAGGTCGCGCTTCATGGCGTACGCATCTTCGCCGTCCGCGTAGTACTTGGGCTCCACCTCTGACACTTCGAATTGCAAGCTGCTCGTGTACAAGTTGAGGGCGGCGCGATTACTTCTGCGCACATGCAACGATACGTACTTCGCCCCAAAGCACTCCACCATCGCCCTGGACGCCTGGTTCATCAGCTTCTGCGCGATCCCTAGTCGTCTGTGGGAACGTTTCACAGCCAAGCTGGTGATGTGACCGTGCGGGTTGTCCTCGCAATCCTCCTCCATCTTGGCGAGCACGTAACCCACTATCCTTCCTTTCTCGTCCTCGGCCACGTAGCTCAGCTGTGGCCAGGACAGAGCGTGGTACAGATAATACTTCATCTGATAATTCTCAGGTAGACATTGTAGATTACAATGCTGTATATTCAACAAATCATCAGTAGTTGCGCAACGTATGTTTACTGACATTCTGGGGAATCTGGAGATGTGATTTCGTCACGAGTTGTTGTCACGGTCTAATTGGTTTGACGCGATTTTTACGCAACGCGCACCGACACAAACGTCGTTGTATTGTGATAAAAGCTGCCCTATCGTCCGAGATTTATTCACGCCGAATTTTCTTGATGCGCGAGCGACCGTTCTTTAAGTCCGTAACGGAAGACGACTCGCCCATACCACCAAGTAACTCTCTCACAAAACGGAATCGCGACAGGAAGAACTTCCAAACCAGATACCAACCTGAAACAAAAGAGCGAGAACGGTCGTTATCTAAATCTCATAATATACATTCTTGGATGCACGCTAGATTTAACATCAGAATGCTTACAAATCTCAGAACATATACAAGGAAAAATATCATTTGACTGCTAAAAAAAAGTAATTACTCTTCTTTCTTTTTATCTTCCTTTTTTAAGTAATAATTGTCTTCAACAAAAAATATTTTCTTGATAATAGTCCTGAAATCTATACATTGCAAATTTAAGGAAAGCTCATTATAATGTACTCAAAAGAAAAATTTATTTTCTCTACAAGAATATCATAAAATTTTATCAAAGAAACAGCTGATTTATTTTCCTTCTTTTAAGTAATAATTGTCTTCGACAAAGAATATTCTTTTAACAATAGTCCTGAAATCTACACACTGTAAATCTGAGAATAGCTCATTATAATGTATTCAAAAGAAGAATTTATAATCGCTCTACAAGAATATTACAAGATCTTATCAAAAGAATAATTGGTTCAACTCTGTAAACTAAGCAAACAGAGTTCTCATTCAAATTTAGTATTCTGAATAGCTAAATTCAAAAATGCTAAACTCAATATAATTCAGCATGTATTTTGAATAAATATTCATTAGACAAACTACACATAGAAAAATATTCCACTGCTAAGAAAAACGATTACTCGATATTCTCCTTCATTTAAGTAATAATGATCTTTAACAAAGAATAATTTCTTGATAATAATCTTAAAATGTATTTGCCACAAATCTTAGAAAAGTTTATTGTCATGTATTTAAAAGAACAATGTATTCTTTCTTTACAATAATATTATCAAATATAATCAAAAAAACTTAGTTCAACTCATAATTAAGAAAACAGATTTTGCTTTAATATTCTTGATTGAAATGTCAAGATTCTACTAAGATTCAGAATGTATTTTGAATAAATCTGATGTTCATTATAAGCTTATGATAGATTTGCAAAAATTTGATAAAAACGTGAAATATTTAAAACAAGTAACATTTACTTGTGAATGCAGTACATATCTTTCTGTATGTAGCTCAGAAGCATTGATGTGCAGTCGCATGCACGCAATATCAACAAAGAGTCGTCGCTCTCAAATCCTGATGTTGACGGATGCGTAAATGACGTAATTGCTTTCCTGTCACCCGTCAAGCAATTACATCTTCAACACAACCCACACTGCATCGCGAGGTAACCAATACGCGCTCCAGCTCGTGCTCACCCAGTAAGACGAGGCTGAACACAATCACTAGACTGGACACCACGGAAAACGCCGCCAAGAAAATATCCCGCATTGTTAAATCCGTGATAGGCCAGGAAACAAAACTAAAAGCTCGAAGCACCTACGCTACGTCGTCGTCGCCGAATAATGGCATAATCCTTTTCTCGCTTTCTTCCTCCTCCTCCTCGCCCTCCTCCACGTTCTCCACGGCTATCACGTTGTACGAGAACGGTAACTGGCGTACGCCAGATCTACACCGGAACTAAGGAGGGACTTTTCGCGACGACGATGACGGCGACGACGACGACGATCACCACCACTACCAGCCGCGCAACCTTCTCACGCCATTTTGAAAATGAAGCGCTGCGAGATGCGTAGAGGTTATAAACACACCCGTAACACCCGTACCGGGGATCCTGTATGATCATCACGTGGAGGGTTGGCGCGTTCCCGCGACGTCATCGCGGAACTTACCGGATTTTGCGATCAGCGCGATTGTATCCTGCCTTGGCCAACGTCACTCTCGCGAGACTTTGAATTTCTTTCGCCGGTTTATGTGTTTTGAATAGCGATGGACAGCGAGAGACGGTGCTGCGAACCGGAAGCTGACCTAACCTAAGCGCGTTGTCAAACCGCATCCGCATTGCGCAGCACTGAAATGCGCGGATTATTTGAATTTTCGAGAAACTCGAGAAGAGTTAGGTCTCGACTCGAGGAATGTGGTGCAATATCGGCATAATAATCTCAACAAGCCGTGAGGTCACAATTTACCTACGATATGAGCAATATATATTTAAACATATTTATATTAACATATATTTTTTTAACTTACTATATATATTATAAATATACTATATATATACTATACATACTATATATACTATATATATACTTAAATATGTATATATATATATATATATATATATATATATATATATATATATATAT